AATGCTTCCTTGATGATTAATTAGCGCCATTTGAAACAAGTTCAGAGAAGTTCTATGAACTGCCCCGGGCCTGCACTGGGCTGTCCAGCCACTAAGCGAGCAGAGTCAGGGCACCGCCGCGCACACTTAATTCAGAAGTGCTGTTCCTGCGTGCTCTCAGCAGTGCACACGCTGCTAATGCTGCTTCGAGAAAGGAGAAGGAACTTGTTTTAGAGGCGCTGAGGCCAAGCTGCTTCTCAAATACCAAAACATGTGTTGGGCTGCGCTGCAAAGGTAGCTTTTCTGCTCTCCACTGTGCAGCCACAGGAATCGGAGGACGCTATTGGCTTTCTTTCTCACTCCTTAAAATTTAAAGCTGTGTCAGGCACCTGAAAACTGCTTGATATCATTGATGACTTGTGTTCCAATGTTTTGTGGCCTGTTTGTGATTTGTGTGTGAGGTGAATTTAGTAAACATGAAGATCTTTCTCCCTAAGAGCTTGTTTTCTTTAAGGTGAGATGGGAAGCTGCGTATGTGTGTTGCTTTCGTCAAGGTGTGATTGAGGGACAGTTTAGATTAAAGGCATAAGAATGGGTGTGTGCTCACTAGGAGGGAGCACAAAGATTTTTAATTCACTGCAACTAGAAACTATTCAGTGTAAAAAAGCCTGACTCATGAGTCCAGGAACATCTGGGATAACCAGCTACTAGGTTTTCTATAGAAAAGGAGCAAAGGAAACAGACCTGAAGTTTTCATTCACTCCAGCTGTCTCTCATGATCAATTAAGTGACATGAGGTACAGAGTAAGCTCAGGAGTTACATTCCAACTTAGTGTTTATTTTACGTGTATATAGCTACAATATATTATTACATGCCCTTGTACGAGGGGCAGTGAAGGCCAATGTGTAAGAGCAGGTTGGTGAGAAGCATATGACATTCTTCACTGAGCAAGTTGAAGTCAACTGTTTGACTCAGTCTCTCCTAGCATATCCGTACGTAGCTGGATCATATATCTGAAATCAACATTTAAACAACTTTTCAGTATGTCAAGGCAGCAAAAGTCTTTGGGGATTGTTCTAAAAAATCATCCTCAAGCTGAAGTGTCTGCAGCACTGGAGACACTGAGACACATTTGTGGGCAAACAGTCAGTACAAAAGAAACTTTCCCAATATGTGAATGTTTGATGGCTGTAGCAGATACTTCAAATGCAGCATGTCTTCAGTTAGAGTTCAGATGGACAATCAAGCTATAGTGGCATAAAAATTTTTCACACTTCAGCTGAGCCATAATGACTGTTTGTGGGTGTGTCTTTAGTCCATAGAAAATGATAATGCAGGGATGAACAACATCCTGATCTAAATGGTGGATGAGGAAGGTGTGCAGCTGTTTAATGTGATGTGTTTTTGTGTGTGCAGCCAGGCAGGAAAATGAAGAGGCTAAAGCCTCCCTAAATACATGCCTGACTTAACTCAGACTGCAGGCTAAACTACTTCGCATTTCTTTACAGTTGGTCTAGGCTGAAAGCAGGCATGGGGACAGCTGCCATCATTCAGTTAATGTGCAGTAACCTGTTCCTCCAAATAGACACTGTGTGAATTCAGAGAACTGATCCTACTACCTAAACCCACAGCGTACGTCCTGCATAGTCACTTCCTTTGCAAGTTAGAATTAGAAATAGAGAAAGATATTTTTGAGTCCTCTAGTCCAAAGATGCAGCCCCACGTACACAGATTGAGAGGCTCCGTTCTGGCAGCATCTGCATCGGGACTCTGGCAGTGGGTCTGTCCTTATTGAACACTTCCCTTTACTGGCAGCCTTAGGGCTAGTCACAGGGGAAACAAAAAAGAGACAATAGTATTGCGTTCAGCAAAAAGAGTCCTGCAGCAGGTTATTGGCAAATACCTTGGCAGGAGATTTACAGCGAAATATGAAGCACTGCAAAAAAGGTTAAGATCTAAATTTAAGTCATGTTTCTCTCTCCCTGTAATAATATTTTTCAGACTAGTGGACTCACAAGCAATTTTTGGTGCTGAACTGACTTCAGAATACTAGCTATGTCCATTTCAAATGTTTTTTCTATTTGCTTTGCTGCTCTTAGTGATGAAAGAAAAAAATTTTTTTCCATCATCATCCTAAATCTCTTTAGCTTTATATTTGGAAAAGATTATGGATTTCATTAAAAATTGCTCTTTGGAGGAGTATTTCTCGTTCTGAGTCCAAGGTTATGTTTTTACACATGGAAAGTTTGTCCTAACTGTTTCATGTTTAATACTTTCCATGCTTAAAAAACCATTTTTTTCCCCTCAAATGAGTTATAACTGGCTCCATTCCAAAATGACACATTTGCTATTAGTCAGCTCTTTTTTCCTAAATAATTTAGTTTTCATGAAACAGAACAACAACTGTTAGGACTTCTTGTTTTATAATCAGGTTATCTATCTACTTTACTTTTCACAAAACAGAGGGAAATGCCAGATAGCAGGGCACAGAACAGGTAGAAGCAAACGGCAATCCCAAGTATTCCTGCGGGGGTATTCACTATACATTCCTACTGAGGTATACACTATACAACTGATAGCATTCTTATTGACTTTCCAGTTATACAGCTATGAATGATTGGAGTGGAAAGTAAAACTTATAGGAAATGTTTATCTACATAAATATATGTAAGTATAAGTGAAAAACAGAATAAATTACAATATGCATCATAAACTACCAGCTTCATATTATAATGGTACTGGCCAATACTACTGAGTGTTTGGGTAAAAGCTGTAGAGGAAAAATGCACAGTTCAATTTATAATTGCCTCTCTGTGGGAAACACCCATCACCCGAGATTTCTTTGAATTAATCCTTTGTAGAGCAATCCTTTATCCCATCCATAGCAGTTTTTCATTCATTGATCTCCCTAGGCTTTGCAAAAGAAAGAAAGTGTTATTATCCCATCGTAGCAGGGAGGAAAACTAATGTGAAGTGGCCTCTTCCAAAGCTTGAGGAAAATGGCAAGAGAGAATGAAAAGTACAGGATTTTACATCAGTGCAATCTTGGTTCTGAGCTTTAAAGTCTACAGTACTGCCAACTTCTTGGCTAGAGGGTCCCAGTGTTTGGGAAGGCGGAAGGCACTGGCTCCACTGCCCTGTCATTGGGATGGGCTGCACCTGACCAAGATGATGCACATAAACGCT